TCATCTGACGGTTAATGGCCTCTTCGTTTGCGAGGGCAAGGAGGGCGGCTGCCTCGTTCTTTTTAAACCAAAAAGGTTCCACCAATATGTCTACCCTACGAAAATTGGGCACCTCGGATCAACTCGCCAATCCGGCTCTGTGTGTCTAAATGCTCGCAGCTTGCCGGCAAAACAGCCCAACATTCGCCAAAAATCTGGCAGTGTAAAAGGGGCTACAGTCTGTGGGGGAAAAGTCTTTTTGGACTTATTGGCATCATGTGATGAACCCACAAGTTGTAGTTACACGATTTTGCCACTATGTCAAATCAGCCTAAAATCCAGCGCACTTCCTGAGGGCCTGGTCCTCTTCCACAGAGTCCACCATGTTGTTTCTACAGTAGCCCAGAACAGACAAACTTAATACTGGCTCTAGATAGGGCCATTTGTGTGTTTGCATTGTCCACCATAGTTCTCCCTCAGGCTTATCGGCACAGGAGAAGTTTCAATACGGTCGCAATCTGCAACACAACCACTAGATGCCACTAAATCCTTCACACTGGACCTTTAATTATCTAAGTATCACCTCACTGATAAATCATGACGTTACACAGCAAACTGAAACTGCAACGTTGGTCGCTTCATAGATTTCATACAATGCACATGGATAATTAATTAACAGAAAAACTAATCTACAAATTAATCCATAAAGAAGATGAAGAAAATAATTATTAGTTGCAGCTCTGCATCAAATGTAAACTCACTCTCGACCTTGACTTAACTAGTTCATAAAATCCATTAAGTAGCTGTTCTGGAGCTTTCGACTGTGTCACACTGTCTTCCGTCTCCATTCTGCTGAACACTGTCAGGACTTCTTGTGTCAGTGTGAAAGTGAGACTGAGCATCATGTGATAAAACCAAAGCAGCTCCTGAACACAGCTCGAGGTCAGACTCTTCCTCAAATATGTGTCCTTGGTGTGAAGTATTATCAGAATATCTCAAAAATGTGATGCATGTGGATGTCCTTTACATGAGAGTGTGTGTGTGTGTGCAGCACATATTGTGTGGTTATGATAATATGTGGAGACATACAGCTGCAGACAGACTGAGGATATGTGCAGCTCTGATGCTTTTGCGGAAGGAGACAGAGCAGGAAGTGTTTGTGAAGTGGGCTGTCCTCATTTTAACGGAACACCGACAGTTTACCGACAAAAAGGCGAAATATTGGAGACATTACTGAGCAGCTGTGTGCAGCTTTATGAACACACTGTGCGCTCAGTCTGCAGGACAGATATGAGCTCTGTGTTCTCTCTGTTGAGCCAAAGTGGCGATACAAAGACATTAAAAATACATTTGTACCCAGCAGCAGCAGCAGGATGATATGTGTTGCCTGTTTGATGCTAAGCTAGCAGCTAGCGGGTCTAACCTGGTCGGCCAGTTTGAGGACAGCCATCTCTGGGTCAGCTCCGGCTGCTCATCCACTCCCTCCGACACTGCAGCACCATGCACGGTGCGATGCTGCGCCGCGGCCGCTCCTCCCCTCCTTTCTCCGGACTTCCTGCGGGACTTGACGTAGCAGCTTGTAGCGGCTTGCAGCGGCTTCTCGTAGCTGTCTTAGCAGAGGCGGGTGATGGTGATGAAGGCCGGGCCGAGCACCAGGGCCGGCAGCCCCGCTGCACTCACGCTATCTGCGGCGACGCAGCTGAACCGAGGCGGCCGCTCGGAGGCGCAGGGAGACGGGGAAGCAGGAACGGTCTGACCCACAGCAATCCACATGTATGGCCGCTGCTGCTGCTGCTGCTGATGGTGCTGTTGGTGCTGCTGATGGTGCTGCTGCTGGTGCACGGAGCTCCCAGGCGTCTCTCCCAGCCATACACCACCCACAGAAGCCTCCCTCCTCCCCGGTCTGCAGAGCCACGAGCCTCCCGGAGCCGGAGCGCAGAGGCGGCCAGGCTGAACTCAGCTGAACGGAGATCACACAGGAAGTTGGAGCCTGTCTCTCCTCCTCCTCCTCCTCCTCTCAGATGCAGAAGTGGAGGAGCAGCTTCCTCAGCATCAACAAGCAGCACCTCCTCGCTGCTGCCCTCCTCTGGACACAGAGGGGACGACACGTGTTAAACTGCAGCATCCAGGAGTGATGAGACAAGATGCAGCAAACTAAACACACTGATGCTTTAATTCAATTCAGTTTCATTTATAAAGCTCAATATCACAAATCACAGAGGGCTTTACAGCATATGACACCCATCTGTCCCTGGACCCTCACAGAGAAGGAAAAACTCCCCAAAAAACTTTTAACGGAAAGAAAGAAAGAAGTCCTTGTCCACAGGGGCGTAAATATAGACAGTGAAGGCAGTGTGGTTGCACTGAGGCCCCTGGGGGAGTGGGGGCCCTGTGCTTAAAGACAAACTCACATTAAATTAGAAATGGGGCCATTAATTGTGGGCTACACACCCTCAAAAATGCAAACCCATCTCTGTCATGATTCTCTTGTCCTTTCTTTTCTTGTTTTTGGTAAAATAGTGAGCAGCAATCTAAGATTTAATAAGATAAGTTAGTCCTTTATTCGTCCCACAGCGGGGACATTTGCAACACTACAGCAGCAGAGGGACAGTGTGCAAACAGGAAGCATCGGTAAGAAAAAAATACAAAGCAATATACGTAAGTAAAATAAATAAACTGACCAAAAACATAAAGCAATATAATGAGGAAGCATCAATGAGAATCAGAAATACTTTATTGAACCCTGAGGGGAAAGTGTGATTTATTACAGTCACTCAGATGTAAAGAAAGGATCATTATAAGAAGTAAAAATGAGAGTATGAAATAGAAGTATGTAAATACAAACCAATAAAATAAAAAGAAACTTACAGCTGATCTCTGCACCCTTCTGTTTGTTAGCATCTGCAAAGGCTGCACTTGTGTGTCCTCACTTCCTTCTCCACTCACAGCCTCCTCTCTCCTTGACTCCTCTGAGCACTTTTAATGAACTGGGACGTCCTACGAGATGGCGAGTCTCAGTTGCTTTCCAGGTCAAGTGATTAAGGACAGAGGAGTCAAGGAGGGATATTGGGATGAGCCCATGCAGTGCTTCTCAAAGTCAAAGATGCTTCCTTGGGAGGACAGGCCCTTCCAAGTCGGGTCCTACAGAGGTAGCCCACTTTATACCTGCTGAGGATACACACATGCATCCTTGAAGATTCTCTTTCTTTTTTGTGACCGTCCCGAGGTACACCTGTGTCGTTAATGATGCTGTTTAATCAGCCACACCTGTCAGGAGGAGACGCAGATTTTAACAAATTTGCAATCAGAATGTGGAAGAAATAAATCCACTGAGTGCATCAGAAAAGTTTTAGATTTTTAATTTAAACCTGTGAAAAAATGGAGCAAAAGTAAAAGCGTTGCATTTGAGTTTTTGCTCAGTGTACACTCACAAATATACCGACATATATTTCCTGAGCTACATGAGGAAAAAAATCTTTGGAAATTTTTATTTTCTTCTAAACATTTAAAACACCACAGTGGTTTATTCAAAGTATTTTACAGCACTATATATCTTATGTGATTTGAGCAGATGGTTAAAAACATGTAAATTCAGAGGAATGGCCCTTTAATACAGAGGAAGTGTAAATTAAAGCTATAAATCAACGGTTGTTGTCTCCTGTTGTGATTATTAACTGTAAATGACACTCTGCAGTCATTTATCATCCTCCTACATCACTGCTGCGTCGCTTCATGTACACAGTGTTTCAGTGTGGAAACATTTCTAATCACAGTCATCTCCCCCGAGGGCAGGTTACCTCCCAGTGTTCACTCAACACACACACACACACACACACACACACACACACACACACACACACACACACAGAGAGAGCGGCAGCAGCATCACCAGGTATGTTTCACTGAGTTCATGATGCATTCCAAAGATTATAAAGGAAGGAAATGGACGAGGCTCCTGATCGTGTCTGAAGATAAAAACATCAGAACTAAAACCAGTTCAGGAGCTTTTAGCCTCGAGTCCTGGCTGAACTCTGCTGACTTTCATGATCATTTGTCTTCTTCTTCTTCTTCTTCTTCCTTTCTTCTTCTTCGTCTTCATCACCACCAGCAGCTCAAGGTTCACTCAACCTGTGAAATACCGCCACAGCTTTTGTGATTAAATGGCACATAACTTGACACAGACATTAATGGTCCATAGACGACGTAAACTAACACACCTGTGCCCAAAGTCTACATATATTTGTTATGATAAGAAAAAATGCCACAACATTTGTTCTGTTTGGTCTTAAGTCATAAGCTGGTCTTTAACATTCTGACACACGGACATGCACAGCTATGTGCGTCATACGTCTGTGGCTTGGCCAAATGTCAGTAGTGATGTCAGAGCTTGAGTCTCCTCAGTGAGGCTCGCTATGGATTCCAAATCCTAAAAAAATACCGTCTCAGAGGAAAATAGAGAATCCCATAATGGTTGGACAGATTTGTTTGCTTTCACAAACAACACTGCAAAGTTCAAGTACCAAATAATCATTAATCGAGGAGCTGCTTTGCTGTAAAATGCATTAATGAATGCTCATTTGGACCTTTTACGAATGTTTACAGGCTAATTTAGATTCACAAATATGTACTGTGGCTCCAGACAGATTGTTTTGGGCCAAAAATGGCCCTTTTGATAGTAAAGGTTGCCGACCCCTGCGCTAAACCATAGACTGTATAAAATAATGTACGTAGCCACCATGACGTCACCCCTTGGTTTGTGGACTCCCGTTCTGAGGCCTTAGCTTGTCTATTCTAGCAGCCGCCATCTGAGATATTAGGAGCCAGACGTGACCATATTTATCAGCCCGCCCTTAAATATGCGTAACTTGAAGCCCTAATCAAATGTAAACAGGTGAGTTACACATCCATCCATTTTCAACCACATATCCAAAGCCGGGTCACAGGGGCAGCAGGCTGAGCAAATTCCAGATGTCCTTCTCTTCAGCAAGGCTCCTCCTGGGGGATCCCGAAGTGTTCCCAGGCCAGACGAGATTTATAATCACTCCAGTGTGTCCTGGGTCTGCCCTGGGGCCTCCTACTAGCTGGATGTGCCTGGAACACCTCTAACAGGAGGCACCCAGGAGGATCCGGATCAGATGTTGAACCACCTCAACTGACTTCTTTCGACCCGACGCAGCAGCAGCTCCACTCCGAGCCCTCCCAGATTTCTGAGCTCGTATGGTTGACGTGAATGTTGAAATTAGCTACAAAGACCAGAACTGTGTTTGTACCAGGCTGTAAACATGTTTATTTCTGCTGTAAAGTGTGACATTTTAACACAGAGGTCTGTGGGGTCTGACTCATTCTTGGTATCAGCTTTAGACAGTCACTCGAGGAACTGCCATGTTTGGCACTTCCACATTGGCTTTGCTTTCCGGCCCAGGAGGTCACCGCTTGTGCTAAACTGAGTTTGTGAGCACGTCACTGTGAGCATGCTAACATGCTGACGTTAGCATTTAGCACAGCCTCACAGAGCCACAAGCATCACATGATAAATACACGTATTCAACAAATTAGCCTGTAAGGAAACCGCACAGCAGCAGGAACATGTGACCGGGGTCGGACAAACTGCTGCTCAACCAAATGTGACTGTCAGCCATAACCTACATACAACAAACCCTCTATTAAATACACATTTATACACCCTCTAGTTCTGAAGGGATATCCCTCAGCTACAGCCTCACACACACACACACACACACACACACACACACACACACACACACACACACTTGGTCCTCAGATTAGCAGACCCAGAGTCTGCCAGGGGAATCTGGGTCAGAGCACATGAAACTGTGCAGCAGTGCTGAGTGAATGAGAGTGGGGGAGGTTTTTTCCATTGTGAGTCTGTGAGCGTTCATGCATGCTGTTAGTGCCAGTGAATTTATACCTCAACTACATGATGGAGGGGAAACACTGGCATTGGTGGAAAGTAACTAAGTACATTTACTTCAGTATAACTTTGAGGTGCTTTACATGGGTGATTCAGTTTGATGCAACTTTCTGCTTCCACTCCACCACAGATCAGAGGCAAATACTGTACTTTATACCTCACTACATTTATGTTAGCTGCAGAGGTGGAAAAAGTACTGAAAAATTCTACTCAAGTAAAAGTACCTTTACTGTGGCTTGCAGTATGAGTTCACCATATCAGTATGATATTAGTCACTTTAGTTATTTTGCTGGTTAATACTTTAGGTTGTGAAGTTCTCAGTTTCCAGGACAGTTTGATTATAAAATGTATATTTCATACAAATACAGCCTTTCCAAATCCCAAATGATGACTTCTTTACAAATAGAGCTATTCTAGTTATTTCAGTACATATTGCAGTATACAAAATCGTCGTTGCATTGTCAGTTTTGTCTAATATTGTGCAGCCCTCATTCATTTTGACACACAACTGTTAGACTGATGATACACAGAGCTACTTTTTGAGCAATGTTGTTGGGCGTTATTCTCAGGGATGCAAACAGGTGTATGGTCAAAGAAGAGAGAGCTTGTCGAATCAAAACACACTAA